ATATATATATATATATATATATATATAAGCATTTGTTCTGCATTGACGTCGCAATGTCTAAATTCGTATATATTTATGCCAGCCAATTAGCTGGTCACGTGACCAAGTTGGCGATTTTCTGTACTAGATGTTTTCTTAAAATGTCATGAACCAATCACAGAGCTCTACTCGCATCTTAAGACATTACTTAAAATGGTCTTGAAATAAGATTGGTCTATGAATACCGGCCTATGTATTCATAGTTCATGAATAAGATTGTCTTAAGATATGAGCAGATGCTTGAAAATATCTTGTTTTATTAGACGATCTTTATAAAGTCCGTGCTTAAGTCCATGCCAGGGCTGAAAAACTCTTATGGGAGAATTTGGTATAGTGTTTGAGCGCCATTTAAAAGATAGACCCCCAGGAAATGTGAACTACGATGTCAAAAATGCAATATGGCGTCTGGTATGAGACGGAGGGAGCGGTGCACTTGGACACGGTGCATTTGGACACAGCCAATCACAGCACCGTGTGATTAGAGACATTTGTAGGGTCCCTTGGAACAGCGACTTGTGATTGGACTGTGTCCAATTGCCCCGTGTCCAACTGATATACACCCTGAGACGGGTGCGTAAAATTGCAGACTACTATAGATATTGGTAAGTTTTGTTTTAGAAAATGATTAAACATAAATATAAAAGGATGCGTTCAGTGGAATTAAATGATCAGTGAGCGATTAGCGATTATTGGTTTGTTAGATATCTAAATTTACATCAATGACGTTGATCAATTACTGAATTGTTGTGTAACTTATGTTCGTTAAACGCAGCCAACTGTATGTCTACAATAAATATTTGAACATTGTTTAATACTTTTTGTCAAAATTAAAAGAATCTTTTTGTATATGCTCATCGTCGCTCGCTCCAAATAGATGATTATTACGGTGAAAGTAAATACACATTAACGTGTTTGTGATTTCAATTTGTAAATATTTGTTACGTTATTTTTTATTTGTAACATCGGAACAATTTTTAACGTACGTTGCACCACCCATATCACAGATTTTCAAAGGACATCCCTCTGAGATTTTGTATTATTTGAGACAAACATGGGGAGAATATGTTGTGTTCCTGGATGCAAATCTGGAAAAGAAGTGCCCTCCATAAATTTCCCAGAGATCCTGAAAGATGCTCAAAATGGATAGAAAGTTTGAAGTTGGATCACTTAAAAAATTATGCCAGCAATGAGATGCAGAAGAATAAAGTGTGCCATAAACATTTTTGTTCAGAAGACTACAGTCCTTGTTTGTACAAACGTGTTTTGTTAAATGTTGCAGTTCCTGTATTGTTCATATGTGATAATGTAGACACAGAATCTAACAATATGCATCATATATCGCAGCAACAGCAATCAGCAATTTACGTATCAGAATATGCACAGTACAGTCAGGATGCACAATGTGCAAATAATAACGTCTATAGAGAGTAATAATAATAATAATTTAATAATAATAATTAATGTCTATAGAGAGTAATAATAATAATAATTTGGTGAAAGTAGAGTCTATATATATAGAGCTTGTACAGAGTAATTATTTTGAAGAGCACAATACAGCAATTACAGAATGCGAAAAGTTAATGGATTGCAGCAGTGTACATCAGAAAGCTTGTGAAAGTTCAATGCCTGAACAAGATAAAATTAATTCAGTTCTTTCGAATTATGGACACAGACTGCAAACACTAGAAATACAAATGCAAACTCTAAAAAATAAAATAAAAAAACGACCACAGCTACAGGAAATCACTCAATCTAGAAATTTAAGCCCCATAAGAATGACATTTTATAAAATGAATATTAAACTGAAACGTCGTAATAAATATTTAAAGCGCCTAGTATATAATAATAAGCAGCAAAAAAAAAGGGAACACTACCTATTGTACCCAGTACTTCAGAGAAAACAAACAGTGTTACAGCTGTACGAGAAAATTTCGTCCGAATGATGTTAAGAAATAATGATGTACTTCCTCAGGTATGTAGCACTTACGAGTGACTTCTCAGATAGCACAAAGAATTGAAAAAAAATGAAAAAAGAATTCAGTCGTATTTCACCAATTCTGAGTTTATTTTGAGATGCGGAAATAATTCTTCAAAGTGTAGTTCAGTGAAAACAATTATTTTTGCATGTAAAAATGAACTCAACAATTATATATATACCTAAATATATATACAAATAATTTATTTTGCTTAATATTTTGACAACTAAATACATTTTAGTTTTTCAAATGCATACTAATATATAAATATAAGTATGGGTGAATATCAGTTGGACACGGGGCAATTGGACACAGTCTAATCACAAGTCGCTGTTCCAAGGGACCCTACAAATGTCTCTAATCACACGGTGCTGTGATTGGCTGTGTCTAAATGCACCGTGTCCAAGTGCATCGCTCCCATAAGTATAGTGAAGTACAGACTGTGGGTGTTTACGATAATTCGAGTTCGAGTTAGTACGAGTTAGTTTCACTAGGGCCGAGAAGTATGATAGGCACAACCATCAAGTATCTTCATGATTCATGACAACTCAATGCTGTCCGATAAATCGAGTAGAGTAGAGTAGAGTAGAGTAGAGTAGCGGATAGCTTTGGTATCAGAATCAGGTAATTGATTTTTAAGAAATGTTAGTTATTAATAAATTAAACATCATAGTATAATGTCATTTCTTATTAAGTACTGTTACACATTAGATGCTATGAAACACATTTGTATTGAATGATAAAATAATTTATAAAGAATAAAATTGTTTTCTCAACATTACACAAATTGCTATAACAATTGCAGTATAAGTATTGCTTCTAGTTTGCAGCAATTATTGTTGGTAAATTTTATATCTTATTATATTAAATTTTATAGTAAATTAAAAATAAATTTTATATCTTCACGTATAGAAACATTATTCAACTGTTTCTAAATCATGTGATATCAATAATGTTAGTGTTTACAATATTCATTATTTTAAACATGTATTAACTGAATATTACCTGTATTTTTCTCATATTACTTTAATATCTTAGAATAATAAAATATTTTCAGACAAGAAGTGGATATAGATAAGAATATATATGCATATATATATGTTGAGAAAACAATTTTATTCTTTTATTATTCTAAGATATTAAAGTAATATGAGAAAAATACAGGTAATATTCAGTTAATACATGTTTAAAATAATGAATATTGTAAACACTAACATTATTGATATCACATGATTTAGAAACAGTTGAATAATATTTCTATACGTGAAGATATAAAATTTATTTTTAATTTACTATAAAATTTAATATAATAAGATATAAAATTTACCAACAATAATTGCTGCAAACTAGAAGCAATACTTATACTGCAATTGTTATAGCAATTTGTGTAATGTTGAGAAAACAATTTTATTCTTTATAAATTATTTTATCATTCAATACAAATGTGTTTCATAGCATCTAATGTGTAACAGTACTTAATAAGAAATGACATTATACTATGATGTTTAATTTATTAATAAATAACATTTCTTAAAAATCAATTACCTGATTCTGATACCAAAGCTATCCGCCATGCTACTCT